GTGCGGTCTAGACAAATGGACAAACTCACGTTCATCATACACCGCAGCATCTGCCTCTTCCATTTCCTTCTGTCTCTTCAAAGCCAACTCCTTTTCTCTCTCCTTTGCGCGTTTCTTTTGTTTCTTAATCCAGTCTTTGGCCGATAACGTGTCATCCGTATTGGTGTCACCCAAAGTTGAGCCCTTCAACTTCGCGTTTAGGGCCGACCTATTCCGTGCTCTATATATCAGCTGATACGACCCCTTTTTCATTCTTACGATCCACTTCGAAACTTCACGAGCTCTTTCTGAGGAAAAGGTCTCACGAAACAAGAACGACAGTCTAGCTAAGTGTTCATTCTCAGTGAGACGAACGGTGAAGGGTTCCTAATTTGACTAATGGGTCAAATGACCCTCGACGGAGGAATGAAATGATACTAACTTTTCTATCCTCTCCTTGACTTCCTTCTCCTCTTTCTTCCTTTTCTCATCTTCCTTCCTCTTAGCGTAATTCGCCTCGGCAATTTCATCCCGATCAACAGGTTGTTCTTCCCCTTCGACCACAGGTCCACCGATAGGTGCTAGACCAAGTGAGACCCGAACTTTGTTAGTTTCCTCCAAAGTGAGGGAATCCGAGTTGACTGAAGCCATATCGTCTAAGGTCTCTTCGTCGACAGTCCAGGTTTTCCTATAATATCGTTCACACCACGACTACTTCGAATCAGAATGTTCTCGATGACTCCAGCCCAATTCCCAGAAGCGAAAGCGAGAGGAAAGTGAAAGAGGAATAGAGAAAGTGAGGCAGAGAGCTCGGACAAAGAGTCGAAGGTGAGTGGCAAAGTGAGAGAGCGGAAGCAAATCTTCTCAAAGCTGGAGTGTTTCTGAACCCATCTCGCTCTCTCTCTTACTGGCCCTGTAGGAGAGCTAGAGATTGTCCAAGATGCCACCTAAAAGTGGTCCAAGAAAAGCAGATTCAAGAGCCTGTCTAGTCTGTGGGATATTACAAACTCCGAATGAATTCCTCAATGATGGTTGTCCGAATTGTGAAGAGATATTGAATGTGAGTTTTTTGGTTCGTCCGGCCGACCGACATGTTCTTGATCAAGTTGGACATTGAAGATGAGAATGTACGAGACCATCTTACATATCACATAAATTGACTTACAGCTTAAAGGCAACGCGGACAGAGTGGCTGAATGTACTTCCGCTCTATACGATGGAGTTATAGCTATGATGCAACCGGAGGAATCTTGGGTAGCGAAATGGCAACGGATAGGTGAGTTATTCGTCTCTTTCTACCAAAAAACATTCTTCTTCTTATCTCACATATACCACTCTACGTTTCTCAGAATCTGGGCGCATGTGAGATCATGAACGAACGTTGTCTTTTGTGACAGAATCGTGTTTACAGATCGACTACCTCAGTCCGTCAGCTCGAAGGAGGGAACCGAACCGAACCCAGCTGACATTGAGACAAAAAACGAAGAGGACTATATGCCGTCAGAGTGACAGGAAGACCACCACAGGACGTTATAGATGCTATCGAAGAACGAGGAGGGGTGTATAGACCTCGAGATACCGTGGAAGATTGATCCTCAACCCTCCAACTCCTCATCTATCATCAACCTTCGACTTCATGACATGCACGGCATAGCACTCCAGTGCCCCATCTTTTCGCAATCGCTCAATACGGGCAAGAACATTCCATCCCTCATGTTACACTACATTCATCTTTCATGGGCGTACAATGTTGACAGTACTAATTGACCGACTAAATCACAGAGTCCTTCAAACATGCTCAGCCAATGGCGCTTCATTGGTCCCACTTCCATACTTTTTCACTGGCTCTTTGGCCGCTCGTTCATCGTCCTTTACGTCAGCCCATTCACTCGTAGCCACGGCCGTCTAAAGGAATTGGACAAAGTCAAGACATGACTCACCTTGAACCATTTTACCTCTTTGGACGACATGAGCTTCGACACGATATCCGCTTGGATCTTTTTGAACTTGAACCCGAACCCTTCGTGCGAATAATCTTTCTCATTGGCTTGGTCCTGCAAAATCAGCAGGTTCTCCCCACATGATTGCAATTTCTCGAGAATCTCGAATTCGATGACTCTGCGCCGCTTCTCCTTTCCCCTCTTCAATGTCTCGCTCTCTCCAGCGTGGCATCAAGTCGAAGATGGAAGAGCTCGAAAGCCCAAAGGGGGAATAAGACAGCTCACCTTGTGGTAAAGGATCAGAGGAAAGTCGGAATCTTTCGTGGCTGGGTCGAGTACAAGACTGACCAGAGCGTTGATCGTTGCTTGTTTCGGGATGAGGTAGAAGGACCAGCGCTGTGAGTGAGCCCGTGCACTCCTGCCCTCTTGTCACGGATGAGCGCGTGAGACTTTCGACTTCTCGCAGGACGTGGCAGCGCGAGACTGAAATTTGGATGGAACATAGCGGTGTGAGAGGGGGGGGGGGGGGGGGGGGGGGAATACCCGGGGAAAAACATCTTTGCGAAATTTAAAAACCACCAACTGTTCCATTAGTAGTTATTGTTTTATTTTGTTTTTCATTATTTATTGAAATTGGGATTAAATGACCAAGTGGGATTAAAATACATTCATTTCACCCTTATTCTCGTTTTCTTGTTGTCATTGTGTAATGTAAGTTGTTTTTGTCCTCAGCTTTCTCTCTGATAAATTTCTATGGTATTTTTTTTTTTTTTTTTTTTGTTTTATTTGTTTTGATCTCTCGATGTTGATACTGTT